AAGCTAGCTGGTGCCAGAACCCACATCTCCTCCAAGAGCAACAGCGCTGCTGCCTTGGTGGTGCTTTGCAGGGCTCACCCCCAATCTCACTGGAGAGTGACCTCCATTTTCTTCATGGGATCTGGATGGGCTTCGGAAGCCCAAGAAAACCCACCACAGATGACATTACAGAGGACATGAAATGCTCTGCCTTGGCCCATGCTTGATTTCTTCATCACTCAGCCATATACCTTGCAAAAAAGGCTGTTTGTGGTCATTTACCCCTCAGGCTTCCCAGCATACAGATGAAGCCAACTGGATGGTTTCTACACCTGGTTTTGCTCCTTGCTCTTATGCATAGGGTTTTGCTTTCCCAGGTTGCTCCAGACCCTGTCCTCACCCCAGCTTGCCCCCAGCCCTGCCCGCACCTTCCTTCCCTGCTGCCCCGGGCACCAGCACACTGCCCTGTCAGTCACAGGCACCTCCCTTGAAACCACTGGGGTGACGCCGGGGATTTTTGGCCCCAGTGTCCCACAAGTGTTAGGTGCCACACCTGAGTGGCTGCCAATAAAAGGTGTGAGTTTCGGAAGGATTTATTTACTGCTTCCCGCAACCTCACCCTGGGATTCCTGGTGGTAAACCCTGGGTTATTTTAAAGGCAGGAGTGGGGAGTTAAAACACCACACCAGCATTGCACATTGCCCGCCAGGTGCTCAGGTAGTAATGCTGGGTCATATAATTTTCAAATGCGTGTCATTTATCCCAGCCATGCACGTAGCATGAACCTAATAGTTACGGCCAAACAACTTGCAAGCTCTTCTTTGTAATATTTTCTTCTTGGTCTGCTCTTCTGGGCAGTTACAGGGATTTTACTGCTGAAACATCACCGTGCTGCCAGCCCCAAACACCCTCCCTGTAGCGTTGCTGCTGCCCTATGGCACCCTCCTCAATGCTATTTCTGCTCTTAGCATGGAAATGAAGTAGATACCAGCTGTGGCATTTCTGCTTCTTGTAATTTCAGCTTACACAGCCCACTAATAACCAGACAAATCCAATTGCTTCTTACCATTGTTCCTGTTCCAGCGAAGCAGACCTGCCATTGAAACAAGCCTGGTGCGCGGCGCACACTGTTTATCTTTAATGGGCATATGCTGTGTTTTCTCATAAAATTGTGATTTGTGTGGGGTTGGGTCAGGTAAGTATGTTCTGCACTAATCTTCTGGTTTCTGTGCCAGATGCTTTTTCTACAGAGGGTGTCATTGCAGAAGGATTGAAATAATTCAGTGTCTGTTCCTCAGGTTTTTCGTTGTTTTCACTCTAACTTTCAGACTGTTGTGAACTGTGAACATTGGGGAATGAGGTGAACCACTAATTGATAGCTTTCCCCAGGTAGACTTGGAAAGTTTATGCAAAAAGAATAAAATAGCAACCCAAACTCAGACTGTAAACAATTCAGGCAAGGGAACAGCTCCTCAGTGAAGCTTGACCTCCCGGCCTGGAGCAAAAGCTGCTTTCCCTGCCCTGCCCAGTTACCCCTGGTGCTGGGGCTCATGATACGGCCTTGCCACCGTGTCTGAGGATACATTTAAGCAGGTGTGTGTTATTAAGCACAATTTTTTTTCTCAAAGCGTGTTCCCCGAGGCTGTGAAATGCTCCACATTGGGAAGCAGGCTCTTCTCTGGCACCCGCAAACATGTTCTACTGCCCACCTGCAGCCTGTGGCAGCAGGCAGGGAGGAACATCAGGAGGGAATCGGTCTGTTAAGTCATTTACAGGCAAATATGCAAAGATAACAGAAAAATAACTTGCTAATCTTCACTTTAATACAAAGGATTTTTTTCCTCCAGAGTTGTAACAGTGAGAAAACTGGGAGCTGGGAAAAGCAAAGTATTTTGCAGCTTTGCTCCAAAGAAGGAACTAACCTCTAAGTTACAGACTGGTTGTTCCTGACATGATGCCACTTTGGTTGCACCATCACCAGGAACGAGCACCCATGTTTTCAGCTGGGAACCTCAAAGCAGGAGTTATCAAATGGAAGATGGGCATGGATGAAGTGAATGAAACAACAGGGAAAGGACCTGTGGTGCCCAGTGGCAGGACCAGAGGCAAGGGGCACCAGCTGAAACACAGGAGGTTCCTTCTGAACATGAGGAAACACATTTTCACTGTGAGGGTGACCGAGCACTGACACAGGTTGCCCAGGGAGGTTGTGGAGTCTCCATCCTTGGAGATATTCAAAAGCCATCTGCACACGGTGCTGGGCAACTGGCTCTGCTTGAGCAGGAGGTTGGACCAGATGCCCTCCAGAGGTGCCTCCCAACCTCAGACATGCTGTGATTCTGTGGCCACCCCTAGGACATGCTAATTTTACCTAGGCTTGAGCAAAGTGAAAGTCTGGTGGAAAGACAAACACCCAGGATTTGTTATGATGTCACCTTCGGGACTAAAACCTCACAGGGGCTTACAGATAAAGAATGAGGAAAGATAATAAAAAAAAAAATTAATTACTATAAGCATTAACTGCCGGACAGATAACTTCCAAAAATAGATTAGCTGAAGATCAGCTGGCCCGTGGGCCCCAGGCTCTTCAGGATGGAGTTTCACCGGGGCTCAGTGTTTTGGGGAGACAGCCAGCAATGGGCCATGTGCTGAGGAAGGGACAGCCCCTGGGAGCCCCTGCCGTCAGCCCTGCTCACCAGCTCCTCCCTCTGCAATCAAATGGCAGCCTCTTTGGAGGGTCAATAAGAGGAAGAGGATCCATTTTTTCACTGGTATGGTCTGTCAGCAGGGGGAATTGTTGGGACGTAGGTCAGTCCCCTTTCTGACTGGGAAGTGCGTGGCACCCCCCACCCCCCATGAGTCCGGAGGAGGGAGCCAGCTCCTGGCCAGAGCTGTCCCACACCTACCCACAGGGCCTGCAAAAGGAAAGCCTGCCTTCTTCCACCCTCAGGACAAAGGCACGGGGTTTTTCCAGACCAAAACCTATTCATCAATATTGTGCAATGTCATGGGCTCCAATGACTTTCTATCGGAAAGGGGGAGAGATGAGTCCCTGCAGGCGTGCAGCCAGGCTCCTGGGCTGTGCCCAGCATTTCATGCAGTTTCCCAGTGCCACGGGTGACCTAAGCTCTCCATCCGTCTCTTCAGCCTCTCTTCCTTCCGCTGATAGGATGCTAATCACTGCTTAGATTTTTCCAATTGAGCACGGGATTCAGCCTTAGTCATCTGAGCAAGCCCCCTTCCTCCCTTTAAAGTTTTCCCATGCTTAATTTGACTTTGTATCAGTAGGAAATGACAAGTCATGTCACTTTTTTTCATTCCAAGCATTTCATACTACTTCACTCTACCTAGACACGCAGTGTCTGAGCGGGAAAGCACAATGAACTCACGAAGTATTACCAATAGGAAGTGACATTTTTCCTCCTTTTGTTCAGTAAATTCCCTACGGGCTGCAGTTAAAATATTGGAGACATTTTATTTAAAGGCAGGAAGGTTGTGTTTTCAACTTAGATAAATTTCTGATCTAATTTTCTGCCTGACTGAAACCAAATCTGACTAGTCTGAGTAATTTCAAAGTGAAGATTGTGAACTCATTAAAAAAATCCTGAAAATATAACCTTCAATCAAGTGCTGGTTCTAAACCGTGCTTTAATATCAGAAAAATGAACACAGCATTTCACTTAGGAAGTAAGTGGTCTTAGTATGTGTCAACTTCAAGAGCCTTTTTTGAGCTTGTGCTTCACAAATTTGCCAGCCTTGGTGGCAGCAGAATTACATCTAGGGCAGGTATCTTCTGATGGTTGAATGGTGACCTTTTCCTTAACAATAGGACACTGAAGGTCTTGAATGCAGATTGATTTGTGCCTGTATGTCCACGCTTCAGCAGTGCTTTTCCTCCTAGGGCTAGCCTTGTCTGGTGGCTCTGTGCTTTAAAAAAGAAGCTGTCGACTCAAACAGCTATTGTGACATCTCTGCACACCCAAGTGTGCCTGACTTCAGGTGCTGTTGCATTACCATCAGGAGGACCACCTCTAAGGCAACTAATTCTCAGACCCTGAAAATTTTCACTGAAATACCAGGCACTTCTTTGCAGATATTAGTTTCCATATCTCCCAGCCCAGACAGAGACCCTTCTTTCACATCTCTCTTTTGAATAACTGAGGAGAGATGGGGAAACACTATCAGGAAGTGTAGTGAGAGGACAAGGGGTAATGGTTTTAAGCTGAAAGAGGGCAGATTTAGATTAGATATTAGGAAGAAATGTTTTCCTGTGCGGGGGGTGAGGCACTGGCCCAGGTTGCCCAGAGAAGCTGTGGATGCCCCACCACCCACTGGAGGTGTTCAAGGCCAGGCTGGATGAGGCTTTGAGCAACCTGGTCTAGTGGAGGGTGTCCCTGCCCATGGCAGGGGGGTTGGAACTAGATGATCTTGAAGGTTCTTTCCAACCCAAACCATTCTATGAGTCTACAATTACCTGGACTCAAGCAAGCAGAATTTAACCCCCTTGTAATCAGGATCACTGTTACCAGAGAAATGGGATCTACTAGGGAAAGGCTGGGTTCAGGAAACAGAAAAGCTTCAGGAACCTGTGTTTAATTTTGCTTTGTCCTGCCCGTGCTACCAATAATACTTATACTTCTCATCAACAGAGCACGTTCTCTTGTAATTTATGAGCTGCAGCACACTAACTGGTATCCAAGTGCCATATCCTAATGCAGGAAGTGTTTCTCTATGTTATGCTATTTAAATATTTTTCTCCTTTTTAATATTCCTTAACGTGCATATGGCAATTGATCCCAAATTACAGTGAAAAGTAATCCACAACATAACTTAAAAGCTTGTAAAACTGTTTTTCACAGAATGATTTCCAGACAGTCAAGGGTTTTAAACTCTCCTTTTATTGCATATATTTCTTCTTACTTTACAAATAATTATATGCACCAATACAAATGTTCCTTCACAGAAGGTACATTTCTTCTTTTAAAAAAAAAAGGGCTAGGGCATCATCCAAAATAAGCCATTTATTGCTCGTTAATATAAAATGTATTCATATTTCTAGGAGGTGTCATATCCAAACCACTGTTCATCCAAATTTCTTGCATGATCTGCTCCCTGCGCTCTATCCTTTCAGCCAGTTCTGCTGCCTCTGCTGAACTATAACCTGAGTAAGAAGGTCTGTAGAGTCCCGCTATCTCATCCTGGACATCCGAATCAGAGGAATCCTCCTCTTCCTCCTCATTTTCACCATTCTCATACGCTCTGTCACTTTCTGGCACCAAGCGATCCTTCTTTCTGTGCAATTTCTGGAAGTCGCTCGAGCACGACATGCAGATGACCAAAGCACACAGCGTGAAGATTAATCCCACACAAATTCCGGACACAAACAGGAGAGCAGCTCTTTCAGCATGATCTGAAAGCAGAAAGCCAGTGCTTAAAATCTTTATAAACTCTGCCAAAGCCTAGCTACAAAAAAAGTCAGCTGCCATTTCCGAAGCGCCCCACATTCTGTAGCCATAATGGTGAGGTGTGCTTGGGGAGGCGGAGGGTGGCTTTTTCTGTCACGTACCGAAAGCACCCTGCACTTGCAGCCTCAACGCTGCTGTCTCAGCCTCTTCAAATTACTGTGCAAATATCCCAGCTCCTTAATAAGACTGTAAAATAACAACATTATCCCATATTTTTATTAGCAGCTCACTAGCATTTTCAACCAGCTACAAGAAGCATACCCTTTTTTTTTTTTTTTTCCAGCCATCCTGCCAAAATGGGCCTTACCCTCATGAAGAGGGGGCATGGGAAGAGCAACTCTGGGCTCTGCGGAGCCACAGCAGCATCTCCAGGGCAGCCTGGGTAGGGAGCGTTTTTCTTCCTTGACATAGTCTGAGATCACTTCTCAGTATAGCAACAAGTGAAACAGACATGGAAACGGCCTTTCTTGATGGGTGGTAAAACCCAAACTTGGTTGCTCAGGGTCTCAAAGGTGGTGGGGTCTCGGGGTGTGGGGAGAGCTGCTGGGGGCAGCTGTTTGCTGCTGGCAGGGACAGTTCATCTCGTTGTGCTGGCAGGCTGCGGCCGCTCTTCATGCTCGGGGGGAAGCCCTTGCAAAGGCTGTGGGATGATGTTCAGCAGCTGCATGATTCTTGCCATTTTCTAGAAGAGCAGCAATCTTAGCTCCAGAACTGCTTCTCAACATCAACCTTTGCTCTCTTCCAAAATTCATTATGTCTCCTGTGGTGTTAGAGGTCTGGTGATCATGAATTTACTTGCCTAAACTAAATTTGCCTTAGTGTTACTAAGTCACAAAACCTGCCATGTCCCATACCAGAGATGGCTGGATTTGGGTTGTGTTGTTTGGGTTTTTTTTACTGCTTGTCAATGATCCTTGTATGTATGCAAATCAACATTTCCAAAAATGGATGTCTCCAGCGCTGCTCCCAGATCAGGACCAGATCTTCAAAAATACTAACAACCAACAGTCCCTACTGAAAATATTCATTAAAAAAAATATCTTGGCTGCAGTCTCTAAAGAGTTTGGATTCTTCACAATGGAAAATATTCTATAAATATCAATTAGGCTGCGATTGTCCCATCCACAAGACTGTGATTGTATTGTAATAATACTGTTACTATAAACATGGGATCACCAGTTGGGACCTTCTGAGGGGATCCCCCTTTTTCCTAAAATGCCACAATCCAATGAACCAAACAATCTCACCCTCATTTTCCTACCTCTAAGGTACGCAAATGTGGCCAAGGAGTTGCTAATGAAAATGCTATCTTTCTTTGGAAGTCTTGATTCCTTTGGATCAAGGTCGACACCTGTGACACAAGGAAGGAAAGCAAATTCAGTCACATCACCAATGATGAAGCTACTAAGCTCAAACTCACCCAATACCTTTTGAACTAACAAGCCTGACTAAAACAGGCAGGCCAGTGCTGTGCCACAGGAAACTTGCAGAGCATTAGACCAAACAATGTCTGGTAAATAAAAAAAAAAATAAATAAGGTATAAATAATAAAGTATTGAAAATACTGACTGTCTAGAAAATGGCAAAATTATTTAAAGAATCTATGACCAAATAAAACCCCTTGCATTAAGCTTTCTGAAATAATTTATTTCCACTAGGCTTCACGGCTTTCAAATGAACTTCCCAGCTCAATCACTGCAGTACGCTCCTGTTATTGATGACAGTGAATATGCATTAGCCACATCATTAATTTGATTTGCCTTTAAGAAGAGCAGGCGTTGGCATAACTCTTAGAAGACTCTTCACCCTGAAACAACTGCAGTTTCACTTTTACTCTTCCCATGGTTCAATCAAAGTTAGAAGACAGCACACTGGTTATGGATAGGTCTGGATGGGTCACTCGTTTTGCAGCGTTGCTGTGACAGCAGGACCGTGCTCATGCGAGTCCCATCTGGCTCCCGGCCAGTCACACTGCCCTCTGAGGGACAGAGCAGCTGTTCCAGCAGGGTTCCCATCACCTCGTTCCACCTTCCTCAGACCAAGCTCTGCAGTGGGAAAACATCCTATTTCAATCAAAGACAAAGGAGAGCGGCAAACCGTATTTTTTTGATGGTACCTACCGTCATTCTGTTTGACAGAAGAGTTGCTATTGGTGACCAGGGGGTTGAAAGCCGTGAGGATAAATTTAGGAACTGAAAAGACGAAAGACAAATTGTGCACTGTTAGTTTTTGAAACCAGATCCCCAGTTAATTACCAATCCAGTTGCTAACCCTGGGTTTATTAATTGGGTTTTTGATGGTGGTATGGAAGGGATCAGAGCAGGAGGCTGCGTCTGGAGCCAGCACAGGCAAGTGCCAGTCTTGCTGGTGTGCAAGACTGGCCCCAGCGCTGCAGCCAGCCTGAGCTTCCTTGGTGGCCCAGAGATGCTCCCTCACCCCTGGGGGACAGGAGAATTTGCAGAGCTGGTGTGTGGAGCACCCCCAGGCAGAGGCGTGCTGCTTATCCCCACCATACCAGCCCCAGCCAGGGCTGCTGTCACTGTGTTGCCGTGCCTTTTACTGGCCTAGTAATGCTCTAACCCCAACAGCTGGCAAACGCAGGGCCCTGCCCACACAGGAGCCCCAGGAGAAGGGTTGTGCCCAGTGACACACCCATCCCCCACCACACACAGACCTAGTGCACCGGGAGGCATGGTACTGAGATGCTGTGGCATGGGACGATGGCAAAGAGCATGCTGTTCATGGGGTTAGTGCCGGCAGGGAGGAAAAGGAGGTGGGAAGGGAATAAAGTAACTGGGAAGAAGACTGAAAGGAAGGTGGGGTGGGCAGGGAAGGGAGAGAAGGGCAAGTGTGGCAGGCAGAGCGAGCCTGAGGGACGGGATGCACAGGTAGAGATCCAGTAATTTTCATCTGAAGACCACGGAAACACCAAAGGGGACAGATAATGCTGTGATTTCTTTCTAGGGACTCATAAGGGCAGGTCTGGACCCATGACTGGATTCACATGCCAGTCCACGTGGAGCTCCAGGAACATCAGTGCAGCTGCATACAGCGTGGGGACCTGCCCCCTTGTTTTCTGCCCCCTTGTTTTCCACCCCACAAGAGGTGTGCCAACCGGTGGATAGGGGACAAAACTGGCCTACAAACTCAGAAACGGGCTACAGTCAGATGCTAAACTGCATCTAGATACTGTTTTTTTGATGAGGATAATTCACTGTAATTCTCTGAGAAATGTTTATAGTCTTGTGTGACATCCTCTGCAAAGCCTCTGAGACAAATGGTTGCCAAGGATGAAGGTGCTCAGGATGGGAAGAGATGCACTGAGCGGGAGTAGGGTGTGTCCTTCTCATTTCATTAATTTTTTTTCCCTTGATAAGTTCTCACACTTTTCCTAAAATAATTAAAAGAGCTAAAAGCAGGTGCATCATGCAGACATTGAGAGTTCACATATTCTGTGTTAGATGAATGGGTCCTTCAAATACCCAGATCTTGGCACCTTTTCCCTGTACTGTTTGAAGGCAGATTGATTGATCTTCAGACTGACATGAAGGGTGGAAAAAAAAAGGAAGAAATTTCAGGTATGAAGCCCCCCTCTACTCCACACAGAAACATTTGCCAATAAATAATGTTAAGGAAAGTTAAATGGAACAGAGGAGACTGAGGTCTGGGGCTTAACACAGTTTTTGTTTTAAAAACAACTAAAACCAGCACTTCTTTCTGAGCATAACTTTTCTTTGTGTGTGGGCTCAAAGTCATGGCTGCTTCCTTTCCTGATGAAGGAACATTTTTTGGGATTCTCAGCTCCTGTTTGCAATAGAAGGCCAATAAAGATAGGGGAGAATGAGCTCATTTCTGTTTTGGCTTGTACTTCATTGTAATTCTGTTTTCCAGTGGCAGAGTATTTTTGTTGGTGCACGAGGCAGACAGTGAGCAAGGTTGGTTTGTTTTCAGACTGCACTCTGAATTTGCAGGCCTGGCTGTTTTGAGCAATGTGCACGTGTTATGAAGAACACCCTGGGAGGATGCAGCATCCCCAGTGCCTTTGTGTGACCTGAGGCTCCTGTCGCATGGCCTGGTGCCCAGGCAGGGACTCCTTCACCTGTCCTGATGTTCCTCCTGCTCCCCTCCCAGGGGGAACTTCCCAGGGCTTTGCTTGGTACATGACTGAAACCTTTCCCCGTGTCTTCCCATCAGGTTTGAATGGCTATTTAATATGCCATTCAAATATTTGTTGTAGGGGGATGCTTAATTCAAAATGGCACAGACAAAAAAAGCTCCTGACTGCCTGCATTGTTAACTTTCGTTATGGCTTTATTTCAGACACGAGGACTTTTAACTAGGATAGGCTGCATCAGGTCGCTGAACAGAATAACTGGTACTAGCACAAGGAATTTTTATCAAGATAATCACATCTATACTACAACTTGTGCCAGCACTGCTTGGTCAAGTAGGGTAGGAGTCACTCACCTACCACAAGCTGCCAAAGGCAGCCCACGGATGGATTTTGAATGGCATCCAGGGAGTGCAGATACAATGTGGGGTGTCGGGAGCTGTTTTTCCTGAGGGAGGCTCCTGAAGTCCAGCCTCAGCAAGAGCCGGGAGATGTCACCCCAGGCAGACACGAGACGACGCTGAGCAGGTCACTGGGGGCACCGAGAGTGCAAGAAACCAGCACCTCCTGGCTCCTGCTAAGTTTTTACTAGCAGGAATAAACTGCAAAAATAAAAATGCAGCCAGACACACTAGCCCTAAATGGTTGCTGACCACTGAGGTGGGGATAAGGAGTATGATTTTTTTCACATTCTTGACCATGATGGAAATACTTGCAGGTGTGGCACAGCCCTCAGAGAACATGGTCTGCTCTGTTGTGCTCCTGTCACTTCAGGAGGAGGCCTATCTACCTTATTTTGGGAAGCATAAGGTTAGCAAGTATCTTCTAGTGAGGGCAAAGAAAGTAAAATGTCATTCTGGAATATGCCCAAACTCTTCCCATGTTCACTAGATGATCTGTAAAATAATTAGACCTGCAAATCATTGGCTAATACATCAGATTGCACAGCTCAGTAGGATTTGGCAGAAGAAAAAGTCTCCAAAACGTGCCAGCAACACACAAGAACACTATTTACTACCCACATGTTTTCGCAAAACCACTTCACTAAATAACAGAATGCATAACCTCACTGTAAACAAACATACACTGGTTTTCTAGCACACAGATGTGCAAGAAAGAACGATCTGCTATAATTATCCTTACTCTAAAGATAATTCTGTTAACTCATTCATAAATTTACTACAGCATGAAGGCAGCTGCACAATGATATAAAGTATTAGTCCAAAGGCGGATCTCCAGCTCTCTTCAGCAATATAAAGCTGGATTACTGCAATGCCTCTCACCTGACAACTAACTCATGGGGACACTGAAAAAGAAAATCTCTCATGCCAGCAAGGAAGCAGCTGGGGCTCATTTTCCTCTGATCTTCAGGTACACAGTGATCTGGTAATCAATCCTACAACACTGTTCCCAAAAGCACGTCTCAGATAACCTGTGCTCTTTGACCACTACTGGCTAGAGATGCAGCAAAAGGACTCTATGATATGTCCCCATGGAGTTTTGCTGCTGTGACTCCCTACAAACCAGAAAGAGCCAGAAAGGAGCAGGGCTGTCAGCTTTCCAAGCAGTGCACAGTAAGCAGAGCGATAACTTGGTGAAAAAGATTTACACATCCTCTGGCTGAAGCAGAGGCGTGTGAGAGACAACCACCCCTGACCCTCACACTTCCACCCCACTGCTAGCCAGCAGCAGAAAGCAGAGGAAATCTGTTCGAGGATTAAGAAACGTGCAGCCATTCCTAAAAATGTGCAATACTAAAATAAGGCACTACAGTGATGTTCTGCAACCACTTTTCTCTCACCTTTACCAATATTACATGTTGCTGTTCCATGACCATTCTTCTGAGAAAAAGATTTGTAGGGAATTCTGCTTTCCCCCGATGTGAATATATCAGTTGATGGTAAAGAACATGGAAAACTGTCCCCTCTTGTCCAAGGAATGAACTGAAGTAGGCTTCAGTCTTGCAAGGGATGTATAACCTCAAACCTTTACTTTTAGTGAGACTTTGCCCATGAGAAAGGAAATCCCTCTGCAAGGCTGAAGGCTGTAGGTGTACTCATGTGAATCAGATTTCAGGACTGGGCTTGTACACAGTGCTTCAATTATGCTGGACTGCTTTACCTGCACTGATGGCAGGCAATGCCAGGTTATTTCTCCTAGCTGTGTTGCAGGTGAATTCTGTAGAACAGACTCTTATTTTGATAGTATTTCTTAAAATATTATAACGCCTACTTTACATTTTATTGTCAATTGCATTTTTATAGAAAATAAAAATACCCTAATGCCTGAGTTTACATTAGGTGCAGCTCTGTACATGGGACTATTCACATATTTTGGGTGTTCTTGTATGGCTATGTCACAAACTTCCTATGTTAAAAGCAAGGGGAGATTTAGGAAGCCTCTGTGTGCATGTGTGTGTCTCCATATGCACGCATCATTTGGCATCGTTTTGCTTTGAAAACAGAATGAGGGGTTTAAAATGATAATGCATTTGCTCTTACCACATGCATAGCTGACATTAAGATATTTTGTCACTCCAGGTAGGCACGGACTTCCAAACTCCCGGCTAGTGACAATAATTTTGCATCTCTGTTTCCCATAACACCTTTTTGATAAGACTTCTAGTGCTGTGTAAGACAAACAGTCTGAAAGAAAAATACATACAATAAATACATAAAACACTGGTGTTATTAGAAATAATAGCTGCTACATGCACAACTAGAGATACAAATCTGCTATCAGTTTCAGGCACACATTTGCCTAAGCAGGATGTCAGAATTAGATATTAGGATTTGTCAATGCAAGGAAGTCAGTGTGCAACGAAAATGTGAACTTGCAGAAAGTTACCTCATGCTGACTTCAAGGTGCATGCTCTGGTTGCAGGAAGACCAAGCTCCCAGTGAGGTGCCCAGTATAAGTCACCTATGTTCCCTTCATGATGACTTGGAAAAAATAAGCACATCAAAACAGCACTCCACCTGTTTCATCTCCCAAATAAAGGGAGATGCAACGCTGTTCGCAGGTCTCTCTCCTTCTCCCTGGGTTATTGAGATGATTTGACCGGATGCCTAATTTCAGTTCAAGTCAGGTGAGATCAATTTTTATGTGTCACAACAGTGACGGCTACAGTGAAGTTCGGTGTATTAGAGGTAGCTTTTAATTTATTATGCCTGTTGCTGGCAGAAGCCATTCTGTTGTTCTGAAGAGGTCAAAACGGGCTCAATATTTAACCAGTAAAACATTTGGCTTCCTCCCATACCAAATTCCAGGCTGTTCTAGTAAGGCTGCCACCACAAGCCAAGTTTGCATGCCTACAGCAACCTCAACGGCATCTACACTGCACTGCCTTCGTGCCCTAATTACATGAGCTAACCCACATCATTTTCAAAGCAGCCTAAACTACCCCTGACTTTGTATAGACGAAGGAGAGTCCAGATTGCTGAACTTCTCCCCGTGGACTAAGCAAGAAGCACACACCATGTGTGAAAACCTGTCATGCTAACATCTACACTTGGAGTTGAGATTTCTTTGTTCAGGACTTAATGCCTTCTACCATAATTTATAAAACAATAAAACCTGATAAGCAGGATTTTACACTGAAGTTGAAATTATCTGAGTGGGAAATAGTGTGTGTTATACAAACTTTTAAAAATCTGCTTTAAAAAAAGAATGTCTCTAGATGTGATCAAACTCCTGGTATCCACATGTGCTAAACTCCAAGCCACAAAGCAAAAACAGCCCTTAGTTTTGGTTTCTAAACAGAAAGTGTGCAGAAATGACAAGTCTGGAGTAATACTTTTCTGAAACTGTCTGCTTCCAGTCAGTGTTACCTCATGCATTTTGTGACTTTCTGTGGACAATAGATATTTCTCACTCTAGTCTTCTGAGGTAGGGACATTCTAGAGGTCTGAAAACATATTTCTCTGGCCATTAAACCAGTCCTCCTTCCTATAACAAAATTCAGATAAGGACAGCACCTTGTCACCTTCCAACTGCTGAAGCTCATCTGTGCCTCTTTAAAGGAAGAAGAAGCAGTGCTCGCAAAGGCACTCAAAAGGTTCCCCAAATTAGTCTTGTTCGGAAAGAAAGGGGAGGTTTGAGACAGGAGTTCTTAACAAAGACGATTCATCTTTAATACGTGAAAATGGGGCGGGGTTTTTTTTTGTGATTTTTAGAGTTAATAACCTGACACCAGCACTAAATAAGTCACGTACTTGAGCGCAGCCATAGGGAGATACTGGGCTCATTTGTTTGTTTGGCAAAGGGCTCACAGGTTACCTTTGGACGTAGATTTTTTAGGAGAGTAGCTTTCTTTGTCTTTTCAGAGACTTGAAATCCTAATGCCCCTGTGTCCTGGGACGCTGCTGAGCAGGCAGGGAAGGCTGACCTAAAACATTGGGTAGTTCTGATTAAGTAACTTAGCTGTTTTAGTTTCCCTCCCTGGTGATTTTAGATGAGTAAAAATATATTTGGGCAGACATTTTAGGCCGTCAAGTAGCTTATTTTGGCAAGTATGAAAACAACTGAAGAATATCAGGAGGAATTATCAGATGATTCATAAATGATTGGGAGCACAACAGCAATCTGGCAAACTGAATTATGTTTTCCACAAAATTTCCTGCCCTTCCAGCTACTCATAGTGCCTTAAGAAACAGGAGGCTGTTGTGCTGATGGTTTTCTACAAATTCAGTGATACAGTGAATACATGTTTCATTTTGCCTTTGGTAGTTGTTTGCTCATGTTTCTGTGGGAGTTAATAGCTCCTTATCATCTACATTCATATTGGATTTGGTTCCTCTGCCTGAGGAGCCAGTTGTCATATGCCTGCAGGCTCTCAGCAGGCCAGTTTTTGGAGAACCTCCCAAGGCTTGCCTGGTGTCAACAGGTGAGTAAATGCAAAGCTGGCTTGTGCTTGCAGGACAGCACAGAAGTTAACTGGAAAGATCTATAACAAAAAAAAGAAAATAAACCCCCTATTTAACAGCTTCCTGTAGTCTAGCAGGATTTTGGCTTTTACTGATTCAGTCAAAAATGTTCAATTTTTTCCCTCTGGTTTATGTGTGTCCTTGCCATCTCCCCACTAGCTCTCCTGGCAGCTACGATGCCAGCTGAGCAACGAGTTCAGTGCAGAGGAATTCTGTGTACTCGGTACGGAAGGCCACTTTTCCAACGGCTGCATCTTTGTCTGTGCAATCTCCCACAAGCAGATATTAAAGAAGCGTATCTGCACCGAAGTCAGATGAATCAGCGTGTGTCAAAGGGACATTCAAGCCAGTTTCAATCAAACTTGCTTGGAGTCTAATAGCAATCCAGAGCTTGCTCTAGGAATAATGTATCCTCCTTCTGGTCAAACACCTTATTGCAGTGTCTGAATGAGTAGAGGATTCAGTCAGTGCTGCATTTTGAGTAAATGAGTGAATGGTCCCACTGAACAGTCCCAAAGAAATCACAAATCAGGAGATTAATATGAATATGCAATATGTCTTCTTTCAGAAGTCTAAGTCAAGTTTGAGCTACACACATGTTTATGGGGCTTGCTAAATTGGTACCATATGTTTAAAATAAACTGCCTCTTGAAAGGCACTTTCCCAGCATGCTAACACGCTGGTGGCATCTACCAGCAGTGGCATAAAAGCCCATGTGCGGCTGGGAAAACACTCCATTCTTCATGCCTTTCTCCAAAACCTGCCCACTACACACCAAGACTGCTGGTGGATCTTTTGAAACAGACACTTAGATGGATGGCATGGAGATACGGGTGTCAAGAAGAGGTTCTTAATGCAGTGATAAACTATCAAAACTGACTGCAGCTATTTAACAGTTAGAGTAGAAAGCCTTGTTTCTGGAGGAAAGGCTCTTTCAGCTCCCTAATTAGCTTTGTTTAGGGAAGTTTTGGCATGCAAATGACATGCCATAAATCATGCAGGCTTTAATGAGAAGCAATTTGTCTTCTGGTTTCTTAAAGCTTCTTTCAGTTCAGATAGCAGGAGCTTTCCCTCCCTTTCTTTCCAGCAGGTGACGGAGCAGCCAGAGCTGGCCTGAGCATCTTATGCCAAGCTCCAGCAACAGCATCCTGTCACACCCACTCCAAGCGTTACTAATTGCCATCTTCTCCCACATCACTATGCACAGGGCAAGCCTCAAGACACGGTGGATAGGGGATGTGTCTCAAATGTAGATCTGCATGACATAAAAAGCAACATGCTGGTGAAGGAACAGGGCACCCAAAAAAGAAACCCCTCCACAATATGTCACTCCAATACTGGAGCGGAGCTGCTTCTTACTTTCATCTCAAACTGCTGGCTGATGGTGCTTTATGCTTTCTGAGCTGTGCCCACCCGCAAAAGAATAAAAAGCTTGCTTTTAAAATAAATTGAAAGCAGAGATTTCACACTACCAAATTGGGATGGCTTGTGCTTTGTGGAGCCCACATATCAGCTCTGGGGGTAAGAACTGACAAGGGGAAACTCCGGAGTTGAGAGGAAGCTAAGGCTGCAGACTCCTAAAGAAAGTTACCATAATAATATGGTAATTTATGCAAGAGCATGGCACAGAGGGTCCTGCCTATGCATCAGAAAAGGGCCACTTGAACTGCTGAATCTAGCGAAAAGACACAATATGATCAGCACCGCTTATGACCAGTGTTTCTGGTACCTTTATATTCCAGGTCCAAGTACTGTCAGTAAACAGGGCAGTATGATATGCTAAAATACTACTTACTGCCAGCACATGCCGTTCCTTAGAAGCGAATACAGCACCAGGGCTTTCTGAAAAGCTGCACCCTCTCTCTCCCTCTCACTGCAGTGCCTGTTGTGAGGCCCTTGTAGCCTGCATGAGATTAGCCCACTGCTTGGTTTTATTTACAAGCAGCTAAGTTCAGAACTCAGTCTGTTAAGTATTTTGCACAAAAAACAAAAACAAAAACAACCCCAAACTAGTCTTTCTCTCCTTCTTGCACCGAGTGGAGGATCCATCTGCCTGTACGAACACCTTGGGCAAAAGGCAAGTGGAGCTCCTCAGTCTCTGGCAGCAGCAGGAACCAGGCTCCCTCCGCTCAAATGCTCATTGCTCTGTTTTGCACCACATGGGTCTGCGTGTGCACAGGCCGAAGTTCCTTGGCTTATTTTAGACTCAAGTGACAAGTGTACTTTTCCAAATGGTTCAAAAATCTAAGCTAGAAAAAAAAACTATATGAAAGAAAACCCCTGAACTACTAGTAAAGAAAACATTACTGGATGAAGTGATGTGCGTCTTGAGTGTGCCCCAAACAATGTCAAACAGCTGCTCAGCCAAATGTGACCTTCCCTGTTCAACTCAGCAGAAAGTTGACTGGACTATGAAAATGGTGGCTGCTCTCTTCTTCCCTTCAAACAATCATTTCTCATTCTGCCACTGCTTTGAACACCTTTTCTTTTTGGGGAGCTTTTTCCTCGCAGAATCGAAGAATATTAGAGATTGGAAGGGACCTCGA